AGCACTCGGGTGTGGTCTACGAGTACAGAGAAGGGTCCGTCGGCTAACGGTGTCGACGATTGGCGGAGGATTTGATTCAAAACTATTCGATGCGTTTCGGCGAACGTTAGGAACTTTTGAGTGTCAATCGGGAGGTTAACGACGGGTTGAGAGTCACCGGCCGCTCCCTCGGGTGCCGGCGAGAGGGGAGCGATATCTCTGGTAATGTGCGCCAACTGTTGGTCGCGGGTCTCGTTTCGGTTGTCTCGGCGACGGTTGGGCTCCTTCTCGGCCGCGTGAACGAGGAAGAAGGCCTCCACTGCCGGCTGTAAGACCAACACCGCGTGATGATCGGGTGTGTCGGCCAACTCTAAGAGACAGGCGCTGAGTGTCTGCCAGAGATCGTCCAGATGTAGTTCATTGCTGAGACTGTCGTCCTGTCCGTCCACTTCCATTGCAGACACTCCGTCGTTGCGCTTATTCTTCTGGAGTCGAATCGAATCTCTCAATTGAATGATAACTTTAAGGATTCGTAGGAAAAACGATTGACTCGAGGCTTTGGCCGTTAGGGCCGACATCGACGGCAACTGAACCTCTCGGGCGGCGATATTATGTTTGACATTAGAGGGCGCCGTTATCACGACCGGAGTGTTGGTAAACCTGTCGTGAATCATACCTTTGCTCATCTTCTCCGGGCTCTGAGCGTCCGAATCACTAGTCGTCGCTTCGGGATTGTTTGCGTTCAAAGCTTTCAGTTCTGTCACTAAAGAGCTTATGTGCTGACAGACAACAGATCCCAACTCTTGTGCGCCATTCAGTAGAAGCCGGAGAACAACGGAACGGGTGGCTAAACAACTGCGCGATAGTCTCAACAGTAGAGCCGTCGCGTCTTCTAAGCCCTCTTCAGAACATGACTTAGAGGTGAGGACATCGACGGCAAGTTTGAGCTGTTCTCCGGAAGCTATTATCTTTTCGGTCTTTTCTTGAGATCCATCGCCGGTATTGACAGAAACTGTTGGCTTTTTATCACAATTGGCATCACTTTTGCCTTCATTGCTATCACCAGAAGGCGCGTGACTTTCACTCATTTGCGGTTCGGCGGTCTCTAACGTAACGGACACTTCAGTAACGGGTGTCGAAGTGGCCACAGGAGCCAACGTTGACGACGCGTGCGATGGCGGCTCAGTGGCCGGTAGGGCGAGGGATATCAGTGCCAACAGACGCAATAACCTGTCCGTAAGCATTGAACTTCTTTTGATCACTGGGTGTGAGAGTAAACTAATGATGTTTGACATCGGAGACGGTTCAACGTTTTGAGCGCCCGCTTCCGAGTCCTGAATTTGGGATGAGTTTGGAGTAGACAGTCCTGTGGCTGAACCTAACCGTCAGACAAACATTGGGTTAATAATGTACTAAAAAGTATGACAAATGAGTAATTACTTTGAGTTTTCAAAACACTTTTTCCTTTTCTACTGTTACTAATTGAATCCAATTTTACTAAAACGTCCCAAAAATCTGTGGGCCCTTTGGTTGGTCCTGAGGGCGTGGATGGCGTCTGCGAGTTCGACAGCGACGGGTCCTCTCCTTTGATTGTCGGCTGATGAGCGTCGGGCAGGAAGTGGTTGGGGAAGGACTTGGCCAGTGCTATGAGTGTGTCGAGAACGTGGCGACAGACCAGTGGTGATGCCTGAGGATGAATGGTGATGGTGTTGACGTTGACAGAACATGCGGCGCTCTTTTTGGCACTACCGGTGCCACTTCTGTGCACTTGGAATACGTTTGTTCGACAGCCGAGCGCAGCGTCCAGACTAATGGAGAGCCAGGAGGCGGTCGAGTGGGTGGCGGTCCTGTTGTGTTAGACAAGTATTTCATATTACCGACGTTCAGGTGTAATATAGGGTCGGCCCTCATCTCTCATAATCAACATCCATGAGAGCCATAATTCCGTCCCTTCACTACAAGAGCCGAGACTCGAGTGGCGTCGGGCTGTGAGGAATCCTCTCTCAGCGCGCGTTTCTAATCATTGGGCCGTTTTAGGTGTCATTCAAAGCACAATAACTTACTTGTGATTCTGTGTGGCGCCGGCAGTACTGCCCTTTCGAGGCCTCGTTTCGCTCAAATCCTTCATCTCTTTCGTCTTCTCCATAATGGCCAGCAATGACTGTGTGACCCATTGTCGGGTCGGGATGTGGTAACACAGGTTCCGAAGAACTCTATGCAATCGAATTGTGTTGAGTTTGGGCTCTTCGACGAACAGAAGGATCAACAGACAAGAGAGCGCTTCGTTGTCCAACAGTTGTCTCCCTCTAAACCGACTGCTGGTAAATGTAGGTCTGTGTGCGTTCACGCTTGAGCTGGCGTTCAGATTACTGCCACCCGTTCCCGAGCGGCCGCCGCTGATATTCCAGGGCCACGAACCAGGCGGTACGGTATGAATGGTATAACGAGTGCCTCCCATACGACCTGTTGCTAACGTAAGGCAACAAATCTTTAGAAATCACTGCTCTATAAAATCACTCTTCAAAATAATACCTGCAGTGCGGAGAATGCGTGAGAGGGCTGTTCCCGCGTGACTCGAGAAGAAGCGCTCCTGTATTTGTCGGTGTCTGGCCTCCAGCTCTTGCCTCAGCGCCTGCGCCTCAGTCGCCACTTCTGGCGGCAGTAACGCGAGTTGGCTGTCGTCCATATCGGCCAACACTTGTCGCCGTAGACTGGGCGGTAGTGTCAGTATAAAACTTCCAGCGTCTACCGGTGTCTCGGGATTCGCAGTTTGAGAGGCAATGCGCTGCTGTTCGGCGCGCTGTTGAGCCAACACTTCTTCCTGAATATTGAGCGGTAAAGCGGCCAGAAATTCGGGGTTCACTTCAGTGAACGTATTGGTCGGCGCACTACTGCTAGCCTGAGTGGTCGGCGCGTTAGGTGTGGACCTCTGCTGTTGGAGTCGTTGTAACCGCAAGTGCTCTGCGATCACCTCTTGCCTGATGTTTTCGGGCAGAGCCGCCAGGAATGAAGGGTCCACTCCTTCGGGGATTTCTTGTTCTATGAGATTAACAGTAATATATTGTAAGTTATTGGGAAATATCGACTTAAGACAAAACAAAAGTCAATCCAGTATTATATAACTGTCATTATTAGCACAATTAAAGTGAACGGACTATTGATTTAATAAATTCACACCTTCTGTGCGTTCGTTATATACATAATTGAATGTCGAGTCAAACACTTACCGCCAAATATATGCGACACTTCGGCTGAGATTTGATTGTTTGTCGCATTCGTCGCGTTGTTGTTCGGAGTGATCGGCTCTTCGTTGGTCTGCACCTCAACCACAGACTCGGCCTCTGGTGTTGTCGTCACACCGATAAGAGTATTGTTCGTCAAATCGGTGGGCGGCTCGTCATTAGTGCCAACGTTCAGACCTTCGCTACTGGTGTTCGTAATGGTCGACAGATCCTCAGGTGTTATGGCGTTTCCTATTTCATCGCTTTCGCACCGGACGGGAGGGGGAGGTCTGTTAGAGTTGTCTTCTGTGGGCTGCGCCGGCATGTCGTTAGAGTAGATCAAAGACAATGGCGGCACAGGTGGCGGTGGTTCGGAAGGCGTCGAGTTTTGTGGAGTGGTATCCGAGTGATTGACTTCCATTTCGATGCGTTCGGGAATGACATGCATTTCTGGCATTTCGGGGATGAGCTGCGCCTCATTGCAAACCATTTCCGTCACTTCGTTGTCGGTTTGAATGCTATTGAAATCGCCATTCGTTGGCGTTTCGGTCACATCCATAGAGATGGGAGGCGTTGTGCGAACCTCCTCCTCGTCTGGTTTGTTGGCAGAGGAGGGAGTGCTGAGAACGGGTCCCAACACCTGTTCCACCAGAGAAGCGGCCAACTTCTCGGTACTGGTGTTCACCTGTTCCGTCTCAGACGTCGGCTTCGGTTCGGCGCTGGTCTTGGCGGCCGCCTCCTCTTCAGCGGCGCGCTTCGCTTCGTCCTCTTTCTTCTTCTTCTCTCGCCGTTCGGTTAACTCTTCGTCGCGATGTTTCTCCAGACAATCGATTATATCTTTTTTGATGAGTGAAACGCAGTCGTGAAGAGAGTCGCCGTCCAATACGCGGGACTCTTCGGTCCAGCGAAGCATAGCTGACGGCACTGAACCCAACGTAGAGCTCGCGTTTCCCGACATAAATGTGTTTGGATTTTGCAATTCAAACAACTCGTCATCAGTGGCCAGAATGTGGAAGTCATTGCTGGTGAGTATCACTTGCGCCGGCGCTGAACCAGCGCCCAAACCGGTCGTATTGGTGAGCTGTAGAATGTCTTGAGCGGTGTTGGGGCCCAACAGTCTCTGTAGAATTGCCGGTGGGTTGGGATGTCTAGTGCCGGCCGGGATGTGCCAACTGTGGTGATTAGCGGCGCTCGCGCCCAACGATGGCCTATATATTCTCTGCCGTCCGCTCCTATGGGAACGATTGGCTAGAATACCGGCTGCCGTTGCCGTAGACGTGGCGGTGTGTGAAAGGGCTGACACACCGCCATTATCGCCATGTCTTACGAGCAATGGATGAGATATGGAAACATTTCCGGGTGCGGGCGGAACAGTAGGCTGTGTGTTGTCGGTGCCGTTTGCGTGTTCGTCGCCAATGATCGGCAATAGAGTGGAGAGTCTGTCGTTCACGTGAAGGACAGACGTCGGTATATGGAAACATTTCCGGGTGCGGGCGGAACAGTAGGCTGTGTGTTGTCGGTGCCGTTCGCGTGTTCGTCGCCAATGATCGGCAATAGAGTGGAGAGTCTGTCGTTCACGTGAAGGACAGACGTCGGAAACATCTCTTCCAAATCGAATACTAAGCCGTCGTCGCGATCGTGATATCGGAACAGTTGGTCACCGATCTCGTCGTGATCCACATAACCGGACGCCTCGTCTTCGTCTTCGGGGTCGTCATCGTCATCATCCATGTGTTCGTCGTCGTCGTCATCATCTTCATCGTCGTCGTCGCGCTCTTCGTCAGCACCGCTCCCATCTTCATCGTCTTCGTCGTCGTCATCATCGCTCTGAGACTCATCTCCGCTCTCGGATTCAGCGCCGTTAGAGTTGACGACATTGTCGTGATGTTCGGTTTCATTGGGATCGTCTTCGTGCTCCTCGATGTCATCGGCGCCGTCGTTGTGGTCCTCCTCGTCGTCATCGGTGCGGATCTCGTCCGACGCAAACGTACCACTTCTTGGGTGAACGTCATTGAACTGCTCGAATGCCACGCTCTCTAAGACATAGGCCTCGTTATCGTTGTCTGCGTTGTCATCGACCGCAACGGCAGTGGATACGAAGGCATTGGCGTCAGAAGTGTTGGTTTCGTTCTGAAGGTCGGCGAATGTGTTGTCATTGGTGTGAACGGGAGATTCAATGATCGCTTGGTTGGCGTCTGAGGGCTGTACTGAAAACGTGACGGTTTGGGAGTTGTTTAAAGTGGTCGCCACATCCTCTTCCATTGCCTCAGTGTTTGTGACCGTCTGTTCCGGTTTGTAGAGGGGTTTACCGGTCTTGAGGGGAATCTGCGGCGGAATGTTCACAATCCGGGACAGAGTCTCCAACGGCTTGAGTGTGGCGTTCACTGTCTGCGCCATATTAGGTGACGACAGATCCAGCGAATGGGTCACACGAGCCAAGTCTGTCACCAGTCCTCTGCGCAATAAGTTCTTCACAATACCGTTCATTAGACTGGTTTGGCTGCGAATAGAGTTCTGAGCATTTTGTTGGTTAGAGGAGGCAGTGGTGGGCGCCGGACACGACTCTATCATTGTGCTGATGAGCGAAGTGAGCGCCTGTATGCGCGCGTGCTTCTCGTTGGACTCGCTTAGGATGAGTGTCCGGTGGAGAGCGGACTTCACTTCGTTCACTAAGCTTTGCTGCACTTCTGGCGAGTGTGTGGCCGACGCGAGCGCTGCGAACAGTACGCGCGATAGGGCCGGACAGTCGCGATCGCCGATAGTCTGTGTGGGCGGCAGTAAGTTGTCTAAAATGAATGACAAAGCAGTGCACTCTTCGCCTATTAGTTCCGATTGACCGCTAGTGTAGATGTGATCGCAGACAGCTTTGGCCACTAAATTGTAAGAACGCGTCAATTCTGCCAAAAGTCTCAAAATGAGTGATTGTGTCAAAAGAATTCGGTTCTTCTTGTTATTCAGGTCTTCGTCAGCGCCGGCGGGCGTCACCACTTTGGGCGTCTCTGTGGCGGCGTTCGTGTCATCGTTGGACGTCTCGTCGTTGTCGTCGTTTTGCAACATATCTGATGAGGACATCACACGAACAATACCGGTGGGGAACCGGCCCGTAGTGGTGGAGGAACTTTCTTCCGGAGTATTAGTGACAGTCTTAACCGCCAAAGCGTTCAATAGATCACAGATTACTTCCCGAGTGATGTTAACGGGCGCTGCGCTTGATTCAGAGGTTTGCAGTTTTCCGGGCAATACTTTGAGAAATTGTGTGGAACTGGAGGTCAAAGCGCGGGGATCTTCTTCCTCGCGCTTACTGAGAGGTATTAAATTAATTCGAAGCACAGATTTGGTCATTTCGGTGAAGAGCTTGCCGTCACGACAGGCCGCCGGACCCAACACTCGCATAATGTAATGCATTTCACGACAGGCGAGCGGCGAGTGATGTGTTTGCATACGAATCACTTTCTCCATCGTCTGCCGCAAAGTGTTGGGCTCTTCGAGAACGTGTCGAATGATAAGAGTGGCCAACGATGTAAAGCCAGTGAATGCCGACGCCTGTGTCAGCTGCAGAATAGCCCGAACCCCTCCCGCTTCGGCGAAAAGCGCCGCCACTTCATAGTTACGCGTCAGTCGCAGACACAGACGCATAACGGCGTGAAGTGTGTCCGCTTCGACCGGAATGTTGATGAGTCCCACAAGAGTTCCTATCAATGAGTGACAGTGTCTGGGCTCGAGTGCCGAAACCATTTTGTCGGACAATTCGGTGGGCACTTCCTGTTGTTGTTGTTCATCGTTGGACTGTTTGTTAGTCTGCTCGTCGACCACAAACATAATTGGTCTCCAATTTCCCGTCTCTTCGTTTATCTGAACCATTGTCGACAACTGAACGGTATATCTTCGGCGTCCGGCAGAGAATCTAATCACTTGTTCGCCATTCTTGTAGGCCTCGTCTATTGTCTTGTTGTTGGCCACGACATACGCAGACCATCGGCCGGTCCGGTCGTCAAACCACTTCCACTGGCGTTTAGTTGCCTTAAGGAGAGGGGCTCTACGGGCCGAAGAGACGGCCGCCTTATCGTACAAATCAATCAACAGTATGAGTGGCGCCAACCATTTGGGAGTAATCACAGTATTCTTATTGGTGGCCACAAGACTCATCAGGTGCTGAGCCTTCTCCAAGAGCACCACCATATCGTCAATGATGGCCAGTTTGGAGAACTGTGTGGCGCACTGGACCCGCATCTCCTCGAATAACAGGGTAAAGAGGTGTATCCGTGCGGCCGCTTTCGACGCCTCGGGTATGTTCGCCACCTGTGAGGCCCATTCGGTGACCGACCGCTTGTCCGCGTCTCGCATATAAGACGTGCTTTCGATGAGTTTCGTAACATTCAGATTGATTTCGTGCAATAAATGGCAAATCATTTGTGAGCACCAGTTCTCTCCGTTGCGTTGGGCCACAGCCAGCAGTAGATCACAGATTCTATACACAGTGTCGGGCAATGTGTCCAATAGTCGCAAACACCCGGAAAGGATGCCATCGGTGAAGGAGTCCATCTGTTCCTTACTGACGGGCTCTTCGTTAACCATTTTCACCTCTTGTGTTAACTCACTCGATGAGGCCGTCTCTCCCTCTTCATCGTTGACTGTGATGTTCTCTCCCAACGACATGGCTATGGCTCTCATCATTTGGTCCTCTTCGGACATTTCCCAATCAGATGGCAAACCCTGGGATTATTGTAAGAAATATCAATCAATTAAATCAATAATTACAAAGTAATTCAATTATCCGGTAAAAATTTCTCGTAATTTTACACAAGTTTGGATCTCAATAAGCGTACGATTCAACTGCCAATTTAGCCTCTGATTTGTGTATTCATACAATAGTACAGTAAACAAAATACAACACTTACAGTCACTTGTCGGAGAGGGCCGGGATGGCTGAGCAGATAATCAGTGGCCTGTTCTAAGCTATTAGTCTGGAGGAGAGCGTCTAAAGCCAATTCGCGAGCGAAACCCATATCCATGAGTTGCTGCAAATGGTCGGAATTGATGCCCTGATCCTCTAAATCGTTAGTCCTATTGGTATTGGCTGTACGAGTGGTAGCGGTCGGAGCCGTAGTAGAAGAAGCACTAGTGGTGGTTGTGTTGGCAGTGGAAGCGGACGTCTCTTTCTCTTTGGCCAACTTCTCCGTAATGATTGCCTCCCCTTTGAGGAGATGGCAAAGTATGGCTAAAATGGATTCCGACATCCTCTCCCCGTGCACTTTCAGCGGCTTTTTGTCCCACAAATGGGATATGCATTCAAAGGCGCGCTAAACATACAAACAAAATAAATAATTAGTTTGAATGCTTTCAATACAATGAGTGTTGACTACAGACTCGATGTGTTCTAATGAGGTATTGCACGGGATTGAAGGGCTCGAAGTCCGTCGATTGAGGCGTTTTGTTTGCAGGCATAGTGTGCGGCGAATCCAATACCATTCGCGGGTTAACCATCTTCTCGAGGAGCATAAGCCAAGAGTCCAGAAACTCTCCGGCGCCCTCTGGGAGATCCGGGTGTTCGAGGCCCTGAGCCACAGGCACTTTACCGTCTTGAGTGATGGCCCACTTGAATGTACTGTTGGCGGCAATTGTAGTAAAATGAATAACCATTTGTTGCCCGAGAGGTGTGCATTAACTCACTTAAAGAAGGCGTCCTGTCCTCCGCATAACACAAACTTTTGAAGCATCAGATGATAGGGATGTTTGCGTTCGTCGAATAGCATCGGAGATGTGAATCCAACCGAACAAATATAAAACGTTAGCCTAAAGTGAAACAAATATAGCATTACGTAAAATCCAGCTTAAGTTTGATTAGGATATAAAACTTAGGCAACGATGCGGTCAATGCATTATTATTGGCACTAAATTACGACCTCAGATATGGCGGTGTATTCATATAAGAGGAGATACCAGAGTGCCTATCGCTCGCACCAACTAAACCCCAGTACATACACATACCTAAACTTAGGGATGGGAGACGTTGAGGGCGGTTGCCATGAAAGACCACTTGCGAGTAATTTCGTCAAAGATTTCGCTACATTTCTTGCCGAAACGGAAGGCACTGACGGCTGGTTTTGAACGTTATGATGACTGCGCCGGTGTCTGATTGGAGATCCAACGCATAACTGAGACAAATAAATTATTACAAATCAAACCCAAAATTATCGGCAATTGAATCCTTTTTCAACACATACTTTGACGAGAAGACCAAAAAGCTCGGCGAGAGCTCGACCTAAACGCGAAGCACTGGTAAGCAATGGCTTTATCTGTTTCTGTTGAGCTGTCATTTTTGATTGAAAAGCATTTGCACTCTTCTTCTTCTTAGTGTTGTCTACGGCGGCGGCAGTGGTCGTGGTGTCAGTGCTGTCGTCCACTTCCATGTTGGAGGAAGAGGAGGAGGTGGTAGCGGCTGCGGCGCCGTTCACATCGTTAACCACTGTCTGTTCAGTCACTTCGATGTCGTCGTTTAGATTCAAAGCACTCGTAAGTCTTTCCAATTGGTGTCGACCGAACTGCCAGTTGGCGTTCGCCGACGACTCCGAACACAACGCTAACAACACAGTGCTCTCCCAGACGAGAGACGTGTAGAGCCGACTGAGCCCTTGAAGTACTGTTAGGCCGAGTTTGGAGCCCCAGTGAGTGATGGATAGGTTGCGAATATCGCTCTGTCCGGTGCGACAGACGTGAACAAACATCAAGATGTAGGCGTGCGCTGCGGACATGGAGTGCAGGAGAGGTGTAAGCGATGATGACTGGAAAGGATCACAATTGGAGTTATTCCCGGACGCCAGCACAAGCTCTTCCAATAGAACACTGCCTCCCGGGGGGTCTAGTGGTCGGTGCAGGAGATCTAGTTTTTCGAGCACTTTGTTCAGAGCGTCCAACCCCAGAGTCAGTACTTGTCTTTCGTGCGCTAAATTCTGTATAGATTTCAACGAAATATGAATTTAACAAAACTCGAGACACGATTATAAGGACACGTACCAGAATTGATTTGCAGACACTGGCAACTGAAAGGCATGCCGGCGACATTGGGAAGTCTATGGGAAGGTTAGGCAATTGGAGTATATTCAAAAGGGGGGATAAACCGTTTTGTTTAACAAATTCGCGGCAGTGGTCGTCAGTCGAGTTGTTACTAAGGATTGCGTCCACAAAACGCATCTTAAATACAAAGTGACATAAAAAGAGTTAATCAATTGGTTCGGCAAAACACAGTCAATGGTAAACACATACAACATTGAGAATATAGTCCACGAGCGGTACTGGAGTTTTGGCGTCACTTGTGGCCGCTTTAACGGCCAAAGTTGTCGCCGCATTCGTTCCCTCGTCTTCCTCTTCCTCCTCTTCATCTGAAGAGCCGACTTCGTTGCCGACGGGGGTGCTGTTCGTGCGTCCGATATCGTTGGCATTGGCGCCGTTAGCATCGTTTGACTTAGCGGTTGGTTTAGAACAGACGTAATTGGGATCACTTCCCAAAGAGCACAGCTCTTCGAGTAACTATTAGTGGAGTAATTTTTATTCATTAAACACTCGTTAATTTTAGTGGGAATGCAATTCATTCAATGGTTTCATACTTTAATTATAGCAAAAGTGGCGTCAGTTCTAAGGCTCGGCTGATGTCTCATGAGTTCGTCCATAGCGTTGCCGAGATTAGAGGCCGTGTCGCCCATCGGGTCACTACTCCGTCGGCGACGCATTGCCGGCAAATAGTCGGGCGATAGAAGCACTTTGAAGAGCCTCTCAAACGGTTTACACGCGACAAACGCTTCGAGTCCTCTGTTATTAAGACACAGAGCGCTGAAGACATTGGGAAGCGATGCTAACACTTCACGCGTCGCCGGGACCTACGGCCACACATTTGAGTTAATAATAAAATTGAAACGAAACATAAGATTGAAACCAAAAAAAGGGAAAAAAGAAAACAAACGAAAAATTTCTCACTTTTACCTCTTTGACGAGTAGGGCGTGTAACACAACGTCTGTGAGCCCACTCTCTTGCAACGATGACAGTAGCGACGGCTCCTGAAACACATAGACAGTGACGACATCCGTGGCCAACAGGAATAGTGAGGGCCCGTAATACTCGGCGTTACTGATGATGTGTCGCAGAGAACGCGGGAGATTGCCGTACATTACTGTCATATGATATGAAACCATTTAATTTTAGTCATATTAAATACAATACAAAATGCTTACGATGTCTGATGCCGTCAGCAAAGGCCGGGTCTTGAATGGCTTTCTTCAAGAAATTAAGCATAGATTTCAGAAGTGCTGCTCTTTGGGGATAACATTGAATATCTTTAAGCGGTTGGACAGTGGAGGTTGAGGTCATTGCAATGACTTCGTTATGAGTGGAATCGACTTCCATTGGAGTCACACCAGTGGTCGAGGGAGCCGTCGACTCGTTTAATGGCATTTCAGTGGATTCTCTTCTTGTGTGGACTTCGATAACAAATGGTTGTTCTTTGCGACAAATGTCGACCTCATACTACACGACAAAATCATTTATATAAAACTGTAAATTAAAACAGATCCTGATTCAAACCTCTAATCGCTGGACAAACGCATTGAGACCAGAGTGCGACTGAAAGGCCGTCATATCGAGGTTTGTGATGAGATCTATGACTCTGACAGCTCGGGTAACGAACTAAAGTGATAAACATGAGTTAATTTTTGTTTTATAAGCAATAGTTATAGATTTAATAGACATACAGTTATGTGCTCCGATTCAGTGCCCTTCCAATTGATCACTTTCAGCAACGACTCCATCATTCCGCACTGGACTAAAGCTTCTCCGCCTAATTGAGAGACAATGGTTAGTGGCGCCAAAATGAGACGATTATCACCGATAGATACCATTCTCATAACTGGCCAAATGGTAGAGGAATGAGAAGAGGGCCGTCGCGAATGGCAGGGGAAACAGTTCAGTGTTGCCGTCGATGAGGGCTTGAATACAACTGCGGACTAAAACGGGTAAAAAGCCGTGATATGAAGCCGCGCCCGTCACGTCTATTATCACATTCAACCTAATAGTCGCACAACAATCCAAATTACGGTAATTATCAAATTTCTAAACAAATGGTTAAGTCTTTTATTACTTTGAATTCCTGTCTAAATGTATAATTGATGTTAAAGTTCTTAAAGACGCGGCTTTTATTTCCTACAGAAAAAAGATTATAATTAAATGACATAAACATAAAATGAATAATAAATATAATTCATTTACTATGAGTTTGTTGTCATTCAACTCCAAAACATCGACTAATTCTTCAATGAGACCGTTATATAAAAGCGAAGTCGCGTTCTCTTGCAGTGACATCGCCTGACAGTACACTAAATGAGACAAATTCAAGACAGTGTCAAAAACCGTGCAAACAATGGCAACAAATGCGGTGTACCTATGATGGAGAGGGCCTGAAGCCTCGCCTGAACGCATTGGAGGCGCTTCTTATAATTGGAGAAACTCTTCGCGAGTCTTAAGTGAGTGAACAGAAGCATCTGCTTATCGGTCGGAACTTTATATGTTTCGATCATCTCTTCCATGATTTGTGCCAACGATTTGTCGATTTGGTCGATGCTGTCGACGTGAATCACATTCAGTGCGTTCGGCTTCTTGTTGGTCGAGTCGTCGCTGAAGTACTCGAAGTGAAGTGTTGTGGCACTCAATGGGAACGCAGACATCGCTAAGTCTTGACAGCATTCGGCTAAACCGAACCCATTCTCCTTTCCGCCCCAATTCTGTGTCCAAACAATGCATACATTAGTATGAATGCGATGTCAGAGTAAGTTAAGTCAATAATAAAGATATGATAATCTCTACTATAGTGCCAAACTCTGCACTCAATTTATGGCATTCTTTGATGTCTTAATTACACGGTATTCGTACTCAAGACATAGAACAATGCCATCACTCCTGCACTCAACATAACTTAACAAATGAATGAAACACTCGACACATACCTCCGCCAGATATGTGAGTCGTGTGAGCAATGCCTGACGTTTTTCGGTACTAATTCTTGATATAAAATTAGATCTCTTGCTGAAGACGTAGAGGAGATTGAGAACTGCGAGCACGACCTGCATGTCTCTCGACGACAACAGCGTAATCAAGTGCTGATCACCGGATCAGATAGTTATCAATTAATTGGTTGAATCTTATATACAGTGACAAGTGATGCAAACCTCCATTGAGTTGTAGAGATGTCTTGAGAAGGAGTGCTCAATGAGAAGAGCGGTAAACATAATGATATTCATTAGCAACTCTTTCTTCTGCACAGATAAACAGATAATCATTTAATGGTTAATCACTTGGTCTCCCAATATATCAATTACAAGATTACCTTTTCATTAGTGGACTCATCGACAGGCAGTGACCACTGGTTTTCGTTGACCCGATGGCAACACGACTCCAATATGGAGTCGAAGACGTCGAGCACATCGATCCAGTGGTAGAGTTCGCACTGACGGGACAGACATTACAAGAAACACAATCACTAAATGCTCACCAATTGAATGACAATACAAGACATACTTTGCCACAATTCCAAGACTTGATATTCTTGAGTTCTTCGAGTAATTCATTTTCATTACAGGCCTTCAACTTATCGATAAGTGATTTACAGTCCGCAGGCTTTAAGACAATCAATATATTAGTTGTCATTCATTGTGACCGGAAGTAAGGATAAGGTATTATGGAAATGAATGACTCATATGATTACCACTTCGGAGGAACTCTTCTTGGATTTGGTTCTGTCGATCTTCATGTTTGGTAACAACTGATTGGTTGCCACAACTGATGATTGCTATTACACTTGATTACTCTGTGGCCGCAGATAACAGACAATGAGTTACGAGTTAATGGCAAAGATTGAGTCAATTGTTTGCTTAACAAATCAGATATGGTTTCAAATATTTGGCTAATCATTGGTGAGACACAAGTCATACACCGATCAACTCTAAGACCAACTGAATCTGTGATAATCGGTGTCGGCAATGGTTACGCGCTAAACGGGTAACCAATGGCTAAGACAACGATTACCACAATAAGATAAAACTCAAAGTAATCTCTAAACAAATGTATAATTAAAGCAAATAATCAAATCAATTGTGAAAACGTTTTTTTGCATACATTCACCCATTTTTTAGTGGCTTTTAATTTAATTGTCAAAAATTGTGTCCAATTTTATTAATTAAACGATTAACGGGTGTAATGAGTGATTGGCGATAAACTGTGTGTTAATTAGCTGTTAATTAAATAAATGGTTAGATTTGTAAACACAATATGAATGCCGAGGACTCGCAGTCTTTTGTAGTGAAGCAGTCAACACAAAACGCTTGCATTTCTCAGCACTCAATGCATTGGAGAATACGGTCTATCAGTGTATGAGTGTATGGATTGTATGCCTGAGTTGTGCACAGATTGTGTGCACACAAAATGACTTCGCATTTAGTGTTCAGTCATTTTTCTAGTCAATTACGCGTCGCATCTCTACCTCCCTGTCCCCCACACACCCATTGGCCACTGTGTGCCAGTTATTGGCCCAAAGGGTCACGTTTTTTATGCTCACCTTTTTTGGTAGCATTTCTGGTGCCATGAGATGGCAATACTATTGGCTTTCAATACTCGTTGCATCGGATTGTGTTTTCATTGACTCAATGCATGTCTCATATCTTATGCGATGAATGAGTGGTCGGTTAGGTTGAGACGACCACTGAAGCCATCGCATCAATCGGATTCACTCCTCAAACAGACACTCCTTTGCCAACACTTGACACATCTGTCTCAACGAAGAGATAAGTGATGACAACACGAGTAGCGGCAGCATCGGTGGCCAGCCATCGACCTCCTCGGCCACCACTGGCCGATCTCAGCGAAAGCTAAGACGCGCCATACGTATCCTCGAAGACAATCTCCAGACCCTCACGAAGAAGATGAGAAGCGAGTCACCCGACACTTGCGACTCTCCCACACAACCCAATGACAGTGACATTCATTGTGTCTTCTGTTCTCAAGACATACCAAGAAATGAATTGATCGCTCACTACAAGAATCACATGAATGGAGTTATGAAGTCCCAGAAGAAGACGAATAAGTGTTAAATGATTTGTAAAAATGTATAAAATGTAGAGTAAATTGAATAAATTGTATTCATTTGTATGCCTTGTGTTTGCATTTGTCATTCAAATGAGCTGTGAATTAGTGGTTGAGACTAATGTTATGTAAGAAATGTTTATTCAGGTAATAGAGTGGTGAGAGGTATGGTATGGTATGGTATGGAATGGTGTTCACAACGATTGACAATATGTATTCATGGGTTCGCAAGTAGTGAACCCCAAGGTCTATGACATTGGGTGTATTAATAGGTATAGCGTATATTGAATATCGACCTCCTCGGCCACCACTGGCCGATCTCAGCGAAAGCTAAGACGCGCCATACGTATCCTCGAAGACAATCTCCAGACCCTCACGAAGAAGATGAGAAGCGAGTCACCCGACACTTGCGACTCTCCTCCCACACAACCCAATGACAGTGACATTCATTGTGTCTTCTGTTCTCAAGACATACCAAGAAATGAATTCATCGCTCACTACAAGAATCACATCAACGGAGTTAAGAAGTCCAAGAAGAAGACGAATAAGTGTTAAATGATTTGTAAAAATGTATAAAATGTAGAGTAAATTGAATAAATTGTATTCATTTGTATGCCTTGTGTTTGCATTTGAGCTGTGAATTAGTGGTTGAGACTAATGTTATGTAAGAAATGTTTATTCAGGTAATAGAGTGGTGAGAGGTATGGTATGGTATGGTATGGTATGGAATGGTGTTCACAACGATTGACAATATGTATTCATGGGTTCGCAAGTAGTGAACCCCAAGGTCTATGACATTGGGTGTATTAATAGGTATAGCGTATATTGAATAGTATTGGGACCACCACTGCATCCTATGATAGGCTGCACTGGGAGTCAGTCACAGACATACCTATCATTGCCAACAAAAGAGAGGTTTCTTTTTTAGAAAACTGGTTCTCATATCCAATACATACATGTGTTATATTCGTGAAGATGTCTTGTGTTATGGAAAGTGTTTTGACATTCAATGCAAAACACAATTATATAATCAGTTGATAATCACATTCAATGTCCCACTTGTTTATCGTATAGAAAAAAGTTTAAAAGTTTTCGAAGTTATGAAGTGATAACAAAACTTATCATTGTATGCTAGTGCCAGCACTATGTTTATTAAGTGGAACTCCATATGAGATGCCATTCCTTACATAAAAATCTAGATATTTAATTATAGAAAGACATCCCAAACAATGACTTTGAGATTGAAATCGTATGATATTCTCAATGACTGCCAAATATATGCCAAAAGTGACAAAAAGAGGAAAACAATTCGCGAGCGATTGAAAGAGTTGTCAAAATTGATGACAAACTTGCGCTTAATCAGCATCGAGTGGAATAAGAAGTGGAACTCATTGGTGATTATCTTCAATAATGGCATCATATCGTCCGTGTATTTCAATAGACGGCATAATGTGGTGAACGTATATCACGATAAATACCTGATAAGCAAGCTACTATCCGAGCATATAGTGAACGTGGTTTTGCGGGATAATTATGTACTCATATCGTATACCATATCAAAGCTGACATTAGTGTCGATCACTGAACCGATTGATACGAAAAGGAAAACAAAACTGAAGCTAACGAATCGAAACGCAAACATCTCGTCCATAGACTTGGAGAGCGGAACCACTCGTCGAGTGGAACGTAATCTTGTGGTCAATGAGAGCGGAGACCTATTGATAGTGTGGTGGAAGACGGGCACCAATTGTGTGGCCCCGTGGTCTGCACCGGGAGCTAATGTCCGAGATTTGGCTAATATTTTTGTCTATAGTTTCACCAATTATAACTTCAATTTGATTTCTATGGCCTGTATTTCCGGACATATCTATCAAGTGAGTTGTCGTTTCAGATAAGTTTTTAGTGTAAATCATATAATTATTAAATAATTTAATATATACCGGTATAAAATATTTCTATGCTGTAATTGTGTGCAAAGTGATAAGTTTTGTTCAATTTATGAAATGTTTTCTAAATTCATTAATTAGTTATACTTTGTGCTAAACTCATTGCAAGAGTGCCATAAATAGCAACTCATTTACTCAAGAATTTGATACATATGTGATGAGTGTTGATGCAAATTGCAGATACAATTGATTGCATTTGAGAGCATTTATAAAAGTTGAGCAAAAATTGTCATTATTTTGCATACAATAGAATATTGAATTGAATCCCTGAGTGGTAATGGAATCGTAAGAGTAATTCAATGTCTTGTTATTATATTGTGTGACAGATATTATTCATGAGATGGGATGCGAGTCAAGTGGTTCTGTTGCAGCAGTCGTCTCACTCGGCATATGTACTCAATTACTGTGTTTTCCAAATAAATGAATCGATTGAATGTTTGCAACAAATATATTCAATACGAATCCCATTGTTAAGACAGTGTGTGAGGGCTGTGTTGAGCACAGCGTTGGATAAAATCGTATTACTCTTAGACGACGATTCCATCGCTTTATTCAATATTCAACACAACTCTCTCTATTCGCTGCACTCATCCGTCAAAGCGTTTGACTTCGCGTGCAATCCATTGGATGCCATATTTGCCGTATCGGATCAGTTCGCGAGGATATCGGTCTATGATTACGCCTTGAATACAATTCACATCAATTATGAGGACCTAATCAATGACAGAATCGTACGCCTGAATCAAATCAAGTTCGTCGATGAATCCACTCTTTGCTTGTTTTCTACGGAACAAAAATCGCCAAACATTACGCTAATAATACTTCCGGTCTTAATGGACAACAAAGCACTGATCAATCATTACCTCAGAAGTGGTAAATGCGACGAAGCCATCGCCTGTCTCCAGTGCGTCGACTGGAACTGTTACAGCGATTCAGCCTTTTTCTGCCTTAACTACATATTTAATCATTTAATTAAAGAGAGACTTAATCCCAAACGCGAGTCTCAATTGGAGGCAACGTTAGCCGCCTTTCTCACCCCAACTGTTCCCATAAATGAAGATATTGTGAAACAATACAAACTCGAGATTCACTTTCTGGCCAAACGATTCTTTTATCTCTTACTCCGCTATAATTGTTTAGACAAAGCATTCCTCTTAGGTCTAGACCTGAACAGTAAATATTTGTTTAGTTTATTGCATAAAATCGCTGACCAGAGGAGTAATCATAGGATAGCGACCGCAGCTCTTCATAAGACACAGAGCTATGAGAATATTGAGTACAAACTGAAGACACTTCAGACCGCTTTTATGCTTCAATTATGACACTATTGTGTATTTACTATATTTAAGAATATTTACTTTGTTTTTATGAAATTAAATTTAATTAAATTTATTTTAATATAATAAAGATTCTAAACTTTATGAATTTGTCAAAAAACTTGTGTTTAGCCTTTTATTGCCATCTATAGTATAATAATTGTTAAACGAGTCGTTCATATATTAATGCATAGAATTTCAACAGAATTTCTGTAATAGAAGATGCGATTTCAGTGCGAGAGATGCGTGGAAAGGGATGCTAAGGGATCAACAGGTTTGACGTTACAGTATATGTGTTCATAGAGTATAGGGCTTTACTGCGAAACTATGCACTCGCAGTGTTTGCTACGAAAGGTGATCATTGTTTTGATACTCTATTGGCATCTATTGTCAGATGATGTCAACACTAA